ATATGTGTGTATGTATATACCATATTTTCAGACTATAAAGTGCACTTAAAATTATTTTCTTTTCTCAAAAATCGACAGGGAGACATATATATTAATTCTGGTTGTGCTTATTGAACTTGAACCGATTTCATGTGGTACAACTGAACAATATTGAGAATTACTGTGAATGAGTTAATAAAGTTTGACTGACCTGACTGTTTTGTTTTGCTTAATGCACCTTATGCATGAAAACAGACCCGTTCATTGATATTGCGCCTTATAGTCTGAAAAATATGGTATGTGTGTGTGTGTGTATATATATATATATATAAACATTTGCAGCAAAATTAATTCCATTTTTAAAGAGTAAACGGAAACATTACCAGGAATCAGTGAAACAGCAAAAAAGCCTTTTGAACCTACATCATTGACATTTTGCCTCCCAGTTGAATGCATTGTAAAAATTTCAGGCTTCATACTCAAAGTTAACAAAGGTACCAGCTTCCATTGTCAGCCATGTTTAACGTCACACTCTCTGAAGCCGCACGTAAAGCACCAACTCTGAACCAACGGCTTTGCGTTTACCTTAAATTACAGCGGATCAACACAAACTCATAAGCACATCGATTGTGTGCCGCTTCAAGCAATCAAAGCTGTTCCCATCATCTGTTGTTTACAAAAATAATAATAATTTTTAAGTTTAGTTTTGGCAATAGAGACTGGAACATCAATGACAAACTGGAAGCAGTAATGTTACATTAAAAGTCTGCCACCTGTAACCTGCAAGGCAGTGCCCTCATTTAACCACAGAAGGGAACAAATGGAACATGGTCATCAAATGACATCTTAGCTCAACCCTGCATGCATTAATTTTTACAGTCTGTGTTTATTCTTATTACAAACGCTCATAAATAAACGATGAACTCATTAGTCACAGCTCAGTCACTTTTCCTTGAGATATATTTGATAAAGAACAACTTATGTGTTGAAAAAAAATAAAAAAATAAAACCTACTCCGCTTTGATGTCAGTGGAAGATTATGTTCGATATCCTGTACAGCTGATGAGAGTGTCAACAAATCAAAAAGAAAAATGAGCACAAATATATATTTATATATATAGAAAAAGACAAATCATCTATGAAACTTTGAGAAATCCTACACCACACAGCCACACGGTTACACTGATGGCACGCCAAAGGCAACTTCAAAACAAGAGTCGCATCTGTAACATAACACAAAGTCTGCTCAGGTTGGCTCCTTCTTGCCTCGGAGACTTTTCCTACCTGTTCCATTAAACACAACGAGTTCCCAAACTTGGCTGATTAAAGTAACTGCATCGTATTACAAGCGTTATAATACTGTACGTTTGAAGATATCCTGGCTTTTGTTTCTCCAACGTTCCACTTAAAGGTACTCATTGCAAAGTCATAAATACTGGTACAAACCATACATCAAATAAGAAAAAAAATCCACACAATTTTTCCCGCATTGATGGTAAATGTGCCCTTAAAAAAAAATCTGTAAGCAAAATTTGTGAACAATACCACGTGCGCTTGTTTACCTATGAAAACAGCCGAAGTGACTGAAAACAGGCCAACAATGGTGACGTCAAAAGAAGAGCTGATTGTGATAAAGATGTCCATCAGTTTTGCTGTATTGTACAAATTTACGCCCAGATGTTTAAATAAAGTATGCAGAGAAAAGTGCTTTGTTGACACTGAATGTGGACCCGCATTTCAGAACTGCATAATAATACATCTGGAAAACTACTGCACCGTCTGATATACTTGAGTTTTTCACTTTATAGTTTGCAGCGAGTACCTTTAAATCGAGCCATTTTTTTAAATAATAGTAAATATTCAATAATAATTTGTTCATGTTACATTGTGTATGTTTGCATAAGGATTAATTGGGGTTACGGTGCATAAAACAGCCTGGTTCTATTACTGAACACACACTGGTTAACTCTTCTGCCTCAAAAATCCAAAATTCAGAGTAAATTTAGTCCCATAAAGTTTTATGTTTGTTTACTGATTAAATATGCTTTCTAACATAAAGCAGTGATTTTTGTCCAAAAGCTTTGACCATTAATAAAGACTCAACGTGCTTCTAGTGACCAACATAATTGATTCCTTCTTTTTTTTTCTGTTTCCCCTTCTTCTTCTTCTTTTTTTTTGTTTAAAGTTAAATATAAAAAATGTTGTTGGCCGAGAAACTGTGCAAAACACAATTAAGCAGTTTAAAATGATATAAAAACAAGAAAACAAGCAGATAAGTGTTCAAGAACTCATAGTACATTAATAAAATGAGGAAATATTCGTTCACACACGGACCATCCTTTTGTTCTCATGTCCTCCAGTGAGACTGTAAAAGAAAGTTGATCCTTTCTTCAAGCGCAGTTGTGGATCATCAAATACTGGTTTCCAGTTGCATTTTTTTGGGCAGCATTTATCAACTTTATGCACATTGTGTCACTCATTATTCTACTTCCACACCAGAGGAATCAAAGGAGCAAGGATTTAAGCAACCTGTGATTAAGGCAGTCTAGTAAATATTGCAGAGTTTTTTTGGCCCCGGTTTTTGGAGGCAGACTGCAACAACAGTCTTCTGAGTCCCTATAGCTCCTGCTAACTGCTGTATCCATACAGAGCAGACCAGACTGATATATAAAAAATGTGAAAAAAAAAAAAATGAGAGTGACTTGCAATGTAACATCCATGGAGGAAAATGATAAAAATAAAAACTAAATTATTGAGCTGTAATCCTCTTTGGAAGAAAACATCATATTTGGTTTGTGTATCACTCCTCGTTGAATAATCTTTTACAAAGAGCTTAAACTGAAAGAAAAAAAAAAGCAAATAGCTCAGGGCAATTGAATTAAGTAAAGCCAAAGCCTAGATCTAATTTGTCAACTGAAATTAGAGCTACGGGCTTTTTAAGCGGCATGCAGAAGATGGAGATCGACAAAGGTCCCACTTACAGTGGCTTAAATCTGTTTCATTTAATTGAGTTCTTTCCAAGATACAGAAAAAAAAAAAACCTCTACGTACAGATAAGGTGGACAAAGGAGACGCAGCTCCATCGCTGTCTCTGTCGAGTTCTGCTGATAGGTTTCCTTCCTTGCAGCTTGCATGTTAACATATTCCAGCAGTTCTGAAATGTGCCAAAAGAAAAATGGCAGACTTCATGTTCTCTATAGTGCTTTAAATTATAGGGCTTCAAGCAACAACTAGACCTTTATCAGAGCTCCACAACCCCCCCCCCCCCCCCCCCCCCCCCTGTACAGTGCAATAACAGTCCCTCAGACCCACTCCTGCATGGAGCGCTTGCAGTACAGTATGTGCCGTTGAGTGCTCTTCCTCCTGAACTGGAAAACGGTGTAGAGGAGGACCATCATGCACAGCGCCAGAACGCAGGGGATGGCGATGGCCACGGCTTTCTCCGTGCTCCCTGCGCTGTCTGGTTTCATGACGACGTCCACGTCGCCGGTGTCGTAATGGCCCTCCTCTGCCACTGGGAGACTCCAGTCCCAGTTGGGGTCGGCAGGCAGGCCATCACAGCCCATGAAGTCCCTCAGAATTGACCTGGGGTAGCCGGGCTCCACACGAAGCAGCTGGTTGTTGAACTTCCAGTACTCTTTGCCCTTGTAGAAGTAGGTATAGCCTGCATGAGGGATAGGGATTAGAAGATACAGACATTATTAATATAAATATTATTGGATTTTATAGTTTTATTTACCAATGCAATGTGCTTAGAGGGAAACAAGAAGCAAAGATCTCCAGATGTAATCAAACAGAGTATTAATATTACTTTACTACCAGACATAAAACATATTAAGTACAGTAATCTGCTGAAGGAAGAACTACTGAGAGCACAGAATATTTAAACCCTGCTACAATGGCTTAAATCTTTAACTAGTTTTATGTTACCAACTTACACAAGAATATTGTCTGTAAAACTAGATTTTTACTAAAATGTTGCTTTAGTAAAATTATATAATAAAACTCCCTCCTAAAATAAATACCTTTATTTGTATGAAGTCATATTTGCATAAAAATAGAGAAAGGTTAAAATTCTTTATTTTCGTCAATTTCAACATCATCACTTCCTGTCTGTTACTGCCCCGCCACTCAGTAAGGGCAATTATTATTTTTTGTTAACTGGTACTGTTAGCAAAATATCTCATGAACCGCAGAATGGATTTTAGCAAAACTCTCAGTCATCAATGTATGTACGTCTGCAATTAAATAACTTCTTGGTGTCCACTTAAAGACAAAATTATAGTTCAACACACAGCACATCTGTCACGACAGTTAAGGGAGCATAGTTGCAGTAAACAATAAATCAATTAATCGCATGATAAATGAAAATTATCAACCTCATTTTCATTTATCGGCTTTATCGTTTCTTCGTGTCTCTCTCTTTCTACTGAAGACACTAGAAGACAAAAGGCTCAACTCCGGTGCTCGTCACTGACCCCTCCCTTTCTCTTTTCTCTTTAAAATCTGTTTTAAATGTCCAAAATCGCACTTTTGGATCATTAAAAGCAGCTAAGCTGAGAAGCTAAGCTACAAGCTAAGCTAACAGGCCGACCTCGGGAAAAATCCTCCATCTCGTCGAAGCTCCAAAATTCACAGTTGAAACCCGTGCCTTCGTGTAAAAAGTTGTTTTTCTCTGCAAAAAGAAGCTGAGAACTTTTTTACTGAAGTTTTATTAAAAGCTTTGTGTGAAAAATGATATGCTAAATAGCTTAAGCCACACCAAGCATCCGCTATTTTGAGAACTGAAAAGCAGGAACAAGAGACAGCCCATGCCACGTCAAGGGGCCTCCCTCCCATTTTTCTTAAAGAGACACGCTGCTCGCTCCCTCACTATCCATCCTTCAGTTCAAACAGTCTTACACTGCCAACCAGTGGTCAAAAAAGGTACTTCACACAAACAAATTAACCAACATTTCTTCTTAAATTTGACAATAATTACTAATTATTGTAAAATTTCAAACAATATTATCGTTTATCGCAATAATTTCTGAGATAATTAATTAACTAGCAAAATGTGTTATCGTGACAGGCCTAAGTGAGAGTACCATTGGCTTTATCCACGAACGCCCCCTGTGGTGAGTCAGGGATGCCCTTCCAGACTTTGATGGATTTGGGGTAATCTGGGTCCATCGTCCTCATGTCCTCGTTATATCTCCAGTATCTACAAAAAAACAAAAAAAGTGTTGATACAGAGGCGCTGAATAAATCTCTCACAAGCATTCTGGAACAGATTTTCTCCTCGTGAATAAAAATACAGTAAATTTCAAACACAATCTCAAAACACATTTAGCATTTTGTTGTTCCTATTCCCTTAAAAGTACTATCTGGCAAAACTAGACTAATCTGGTGAGGTGTTCCACTTAATTCTTAGAGCTTTAGAAAATTGTAAGTGATTTTTACACTTTTATCTTGTGCCACAACTTGCTCTTTGAGCTGAGGAGAAGAGTCAGTTTTAATGGCGGAGTTTGAAATTACTAAATGTTTTTTATTATGTGGCACAGAAATAGGGCTACACCAGAGTCGTTTTACTCATTCTGAGCTGTAGCTTTGTGTGGTAGTTGCTGACAGTCATTCGCAAAACATCCTCAGTGAACAGATCAGACAAGATCTCACAATATGACATGAGAATGCAAAAAAACATCCAAACCTCAACCCAGATGAGATTAATGTAAAACTCTGGCATGGAATTTCAAATAGACCTTAAAGTAATTTTTGTTTTTATTGTGACAGCTTTAAGAAAATTATGTTCTTTCTTCATACCATAAATGAGAAAACATAAATTAGATGATCTAAAAAAGTTAAATCAGGTCCTCTGGACATTCAAAAAAACAAAACAAAGCACAACAACAAAAAATGTAGAAACGTTTCGTCTCTCATCCGAGAGACTTCCTCAGTCTGAGGTGCTGTATTCAGCTCAGTCTCTTAAATAGCACATTCTCAGGGTGGATCAACCAGTTTTGCTGCTGACAACCAAAACCAGCTGATCACATGCTCAAGAAGGACCATCAGCCTAACAATGGATCATTAGCACACTGATGGCTGTTTACTATTCACAGAGGGCTGAGTGATACTAGCAATCACAGCATTGTAAGAGGGGGACAATTGAACACGTAGGCCTCCACCCCTGTTTAATGATGGACGATTTCTTTTCACAAAGATGGCCTCCTTTAATCCTCTCTCAAACCATCGTTCCTCTCTGTCCAGGATGTGAACATCTATCCCTGAAAGAGTGACCGCTGGCCTGGAGATGAGTGTAGACCGCAGAGTCCTGGCCTGATGATGTTGATCTTCTGTGCTGGGCCATCCTTTTGGCCAGTGGCTGTTTTGTTTCCCCGATGTAAGACTGATCACCCTCCTGACACTGAACAGCAGACCAGATTTAACTTTTTTAGATTTTTCTACCTGGATTATTGAGCATGCATCAGGATATAAATTAGATGAGCACGGATGAGGAATTTCTCATCCCAAACGTACTTTTTTTTTAATTAAAGCTATGGAAGCTGATGCTTTGATGCAATAGTCAGACATTTTTTGATGGCTCATTGTTATTAACATTGATAAACAACAGATTTTATTCATATAACTGGAAGCAGGGATCGATCAGTCATCCATGTTTGCCTGCTATGCAGATTAGTTTCAGAACAAGCTGAAACGAATGTGCGTTGAGACAAACGGGACATTCTGCGGTTAAAGATGACAAAGCATCTCGTCATCTTCCACCACAGGGTCCCATGACCTCTCAGGATATGATTAATCACAACAGCTGAACACGTGAGTCAGATTGGCATATTCTCATACTGTACGGCCGCTCTGACGCACGTAAATAAACAACAGATCCTCTGATTTGGTTGTTTTGAACAGCTTTGCAAGTAATTATCAGTTTGAACCAACTAAACAAAACCTGGTTGGTTTTGGTGTCTGTGCCATCAAATAAAAAAAATAAAAATAAAAATTACATAACCTTTGCTTTTGATTACAAAAGGATGATGAAGATTGCATGACAGTGAATCTGTTGGAATTGTAAGTTTGATTTTAATAGAGACTATTAACACTTTATCACACAGACATCAGAATTATTAATGTTTAAAACAAGATAAAAAAAACGTACCTGTGGCTTTATTATAGATGATAATGCTTATAATAAATTCAGGTGAAACAGATGTTTTGATTTATGAAATTCATACTGTTTCTGTGGGGAGGTTGAGGGAAACAACAATTGAGCTTTTGATAAGGTCAAACATCATCATCCACTAGTGTTGAAACATTAATTAAACACTTTATTATTATTATAGGGTTTTTGGAGCAACATTTGATGCCTTAAAGCTATGTCTTCTTCATGTAGGTCTTGCTTATTTCAGCAATACATTGCCAAATACCATGTACAGATTAAAACAGAGGGGTTTCTGATCTGACATATTATCTATTTAAAAAATATACAAGTGGTACATGGATGTCACCTGTTGCTGAAGGATTTGAAAGGTGAATGTTTGTAGTTTTTGAGACGAGTGTTTGTCTGAACTGGAATTGAACAAGTAGACCTTAATGTTTTTGGTGCAAGATGTTCAACTGGATAAGTGTTTCATTGTGAATAAGAAGAGATGTACTTTTTTTGTTTTTTGTTTTTCTTGATAAGGGCAGTAAAGAGTGACGGATCCTGGCAAGCGAAGGAAGCAATTTTATCCTCCACTAGGCTCAATAGCGGTATGTATTTATTTATGTTTATATACATATACACACATACACACACATATATATATATACACACACACACACACACACACACACACACACACACA